ACACGCCATGATGGAACTGCTGACTGCATCTGAAGATGAGCTTGTTCACATATTTCTCTGAGAAGAGAAAGACACCTGATGGAGATGATGCTAGCCAGGTAGCATTAGCCTTTTACTGACTCATAAATGATGATGTTCAGGTAAAAAAATAGTGTTCACACTGTAATCAGATGTGATGTGAGTGTAAATGATCTGATGTTAATGTTTAATGTAATCGTATGAGACCAGTAACATCAGACAGGGAGGAGCAGTGGACAGCAGCAGACATTTAATAATATATCATCAGACACAAACTAGAAACCATTTAAATGATCAGGCTGTAGGAAACTGAGAGGAACAATCTCAGTATTGTTTTTATTTGTAGGTGAAGACTGACCAGAGAATCAGGCTTCAGAGGATCAGCTGCAGCCTGGATGCTGCTGAGCCTCTCAGAGCCTCAGAGCTCTTCTATAAAAACCCAGAAAAATGAATTGTTCTGAGCCTGGGTGCAAACTCTGCCACTGATTCTACAGCCCCATCAAGAAATTATTATATATTGATTTATGTTTTATTCTTTTAATTTTTATATTCAGCCTTTAAAAAGCCATTTTCAACTGGCCATTTAATAAATAGGTTGTAAAAGTAAAATCTTCAGTCAAATGTCATTTGTTTACGTCGCCTGCTGCCCCCGCTGCTGGAAAACATCCTGGAGGAAACACTGTCTTTGTTTTGTGTTCATTTTGTCTCTTCAGTTTTCTTTAAATTAAAACAACAAACTGATTCTTCAAATAGTTGTCAGTTATTCTCCTGTTCGACGATGAATCGACTCGAGGGCTCAGATCAGTGAAACATCGTCAGCCTGAGCTCAGAGTCGTGTTATTAGAGCACAAGTTTAGAATTTAATTGAACTCTTCCCGTAGTTGTAGCTTTTTGCTTCGTGAGCCGTTTCCTATAATTTAATCCAAACAAAACAGGAATTTGGTTCGAGCCTTACAGGACGACATGAAGTGACTGTAATGGGTTTATTTTTACACTCTGCTGCATCAGGATTCAGTCTTTTATTCTAGTGACGGCTCTGAGTTTCTGCCACTTTTATCTCGTACGTCTGAACACAGTCGTCCTCTGATGCAGCTTGTGTCAGTTCAGAAACATCCGGACTGGAAGAGACGCACAGCGTTTTGACATTTCTTTTTCTTGATTTTCTGGGTTTTTTTGTGGTTGTTTTAGGTGTCTTTGTCGTCATTTTGTGTCTCACTGTGGTTTTGTGTCTCCAATGAGTCGCTTTGTGGTCATTTTCTGACTCTTAGTGGTTCATTTTGTGTTTTTCTGTGGTTGTTTTTGTCTGTTTGTGGTCAATTTGTGTCGCTGTTTGTAGTTGATGTTTTTTTAAGTTTCTCTTTGGGGTTACTTTGTCCGCCTTTGTTGTCACTTTATGTGTCTTTGTTGTAGTTTTGTGTCTTTCCATGGTTATATTTGTTTGTGTCTTTGTAGTTAATTTGTGTGTCTTTGGTGTAGTCAACATTTTGTTGAATACTGGTTGTGTTGTGTCTTCCTGTCGTGAAGACATTTTGTGTTTCTGTGATTGTTTGTCTGTCTTTGTGGTTCATTTTCTGTCTTTCTGCAGTTGTTTTGTCTCTTTGTGCACGTTTTGTGTCTGTTTGGCAGTTTTATGTCGGTTATTTTGTGTGTGTTTGTGGTCGCTTTGTGCATCTTTGTGGTCATTTTGTGTCTCACTGGGGTTCTGTGTGTCCAATGAGTCGCCTTGTGTGCCTTTGTGGTCATTTTCTGATTGTTCGTGGTTCATTTTGTGTCTTTTTGTAGTTGTTTCGTGTCTCTTTGTGGTAGTTTTGTGTCTCTGGTTATTTTGTGTGTCTATGTGGATATTTTGCATGTCTTTGTGGTTGTTTTATGTCTCTTGTGTGGGTTTTTTTGGTCACTTTGTGGGTATTTTTGTCCTGGCTTTGTGTCTTTGTGGTCATTTTGTGTCTTTTAGTGTTTGTTTTGTGTGTCTGCGGTTATTTCGAGTGTCTCGGTGCTAATTTTGTGTTTCTTTGTGTACATTCTGTGTCGTTCGCTGACATTCTGTTCTGTTCATCCCGACTATTGGGGCTTGTGCCTGCTAGAAAACATCTCCTCCTCCTCCTGTGGAGGGAAATCATTGTTAAACATTGATTGCATTGTGTTGTACATCTGTGTGTGATGCTGCTGCTGCTGCTGTGCGATCAGACTGAATTCCACCTGCGAGTCTTTAACAGCTTTTATGTGCAGATCTCTGAAGGCGTCCTTAAACTCAATGGAGAGTCACTGCTTTGAGCACAGAGGTGACAGGATGTACCCGACGTCATTCAACCTTCTGAGTCACTGAAACATATAAATCTAACTAAGTCGTCTCTGTGTTGCGGCTGCAGCTCTGACAGGAATGTAAATTGTTGTTTTCTGCCGGATTTTCCTGCTCGCCGATTTTCCGCTCTCCGATTCGTCTCAGCGGATTTGCTTCCAACAAACACAGCGACACCACAAACCAGGTGAATCAGTGTTGGCTGTGATCAGGTTCAGGTTGTTTCTCGTCATCCTGAACCCGACACGTTGCCGTCTGGGTGGTAAACTGGGCGACTTTTGACCCCAGCTGTAGCCCATGATGTCACACAGAAACAGAAACGAGGTCCAATTTAGTTAAAACTAAAATCGTTGGAGCACAGATGCAAGTTTAATGAGTTAGTCAATAAAATGGTAAATGGAGCTTACTATGAATTATTTATGTCTTGTTTCATTCATCCAGCAGTCCAAAGTGTTCATAACGGAGCAGCTTCCTCTGGTGTGCTATTAAAAATATTAATAAGTGGTTCTTAAAAATCATGTCGAGCCCGAGGTGTTGTCTTCACACGCCCAAGAGTCCAAAAATAGCCCAAAATGTTCTGTTTCCTTTGGTTTAAATAGATGCAATGGAGTGTTTTTGCCTGATGAAATGACAATGAATCCTTTCTGGATATAGTTTCATTTTACTTTATTGTTTTCACTGATCAGTTCAGTGAGTCACAGTTTCAGCTGTAAATGTGAACAGCTTTGGATTTGATACGTCAGCGGATGCTTTTTAATCGTCCCTGGAACGTCCACGTAGCTCAGACTGAGACCTTCATAACGGTTTTAATGTTTAGTTTAAAAGCGTTTCAGAAGACCGACTTTGTGCTGCTGTATGTGTTCATATTCAGTTATTTATCCGTCTCTCATGCGTATAAAAGGGGCGGACGAAACAGCATTTTCTTTGCAGCTGAAGTGAATAAAGGTCTCCACCTGCATTTCTTCTAATTAGCATCACAAGATATTACATCGTTATTAATAGAGATTTTTGTTTGTTTTATTATGTGGGTCTAAATTTAGTTTCGTAGCTGTTTAATCCAAGAGAAAAAATCTCAAATCTGTTTGCATGACAAAGCATTAAAGTTAAACTAAATCATATTTTTTTAAAACTGACATTTTTTAAATGACCTTTATTAAAGTCACTAAAATTCTTTCTTTTTTATACCATAGTTGTCCTTAAATGTCAAATATAGTCTCCAAACAAGTTCTCAGATCCCACAGGGATGTCTGGAGGGTTTACTTTGTTTTTTTTTTTTCTTCTTCTCCTCCCACATTCCTCACTGCAACTTCCCAAACACAGCACCCTGATGTTTCCCGTTTCCACGGTAACTGTTTCTTGCAGCCCATGTCACTACGGTAACAGCAGGAGATTGAAACGGGGGAGGGTCGGTAAACCTGTGACTCAGTTTCCCACATTTTTAAGGTGATAGAAATGTGTATGACGAGGCTGTCAGGTGGAAGCTATGTGGCGCCTGTTATGTCTCTATTATGAATAAAAAAAAAAAAAACATTATTCTACTTATTACACTCATAAAACTGCTTAAAACCAATAACTTCATCTCGAAAGGTGATAATCACCAAACAATCTTGAAATATTTTTTTGATTTATTTAGCATTAATTTTGTTTTCAATTAGATTTTCACAGCAAGTTGGGAATAATTTTATTCAACTGAATATATTATATATGCAAAAAGTAATGTTTTTCTTTTTTATCACAATTGTTTTAGAAGGAGGCTGGACGTTTTCAACACAAAACTATTAAATAATCAAGTATATGCTAAAACAGATTCAAAGCTGAGCTGTTTGTTATGAAATGGGACTACATTTTGAGTAGTTTTTAATTTTATTTGTTCAGTTTTTGTTGCCCATCGGACCTATTGGATGTTTAAACTGGTATTCATCTGTTTGTCAACACAAACTCGGCAGAGACGGTGAAGTGATTGACTGTTGCTTTAAAACTAACATAAACATAAAAAACTTGAGTTGGTAAGTCTTTACCAGTCAAATAAAGCTACCTCCAGAACAGGAACTACTTTGTCTCCAGTCTAGTCAAATATTGTCTGGAGTTCCCCAAGGCTCAATGCTCGGTCCTCTGTCATTCAATATTTACATGCTTTCATTGGACAAGTTATGTTAAAAAAAAAAAAAGGATGACCCCTAACTTTTACCTGCGCAGCGATTCTCTGAAATACTGAAACTCTGAGATAATTTATATTAATTGCTATTTTATATTAACAGGTAATAATGCAAAGTGCTTTGTTTCAAAGGCTTTTTGAATCTCCTCAGTTTTTGTCAAACAGCCTCACAGCAAAGACTCTTTAAATCTGGACATTAGAGCAACAAATAAACACATGAAGAAAGAGTCCCTGAAGTGAAACCCTGTTGTTTTTGGCCCCATTGCTGTATTTTTATTTTCCTAAACAAACACCTGTGGAGTCCTGTGATTGACTGAGACCGTCAGTTTGTTTTTGCTGTCCTCTCGCTGTGTCTTCAGCTGTCCCTTCCTGGCGTCCAACCTGACCCCGGCCATCCCAGCAGTAGGCGGTATCCTCTTTGTCTTCGTCATGGGGATGCTGTTCAGGGCGAGTTTCAGTGACCCCGGCGTTCTACCCCGAGCCACACCAGACGAGGCCGCCGACCTGGAGAGGCAGATTGGTAACCATGGAGACGCACACACATTAGAGATCAGAAATGAATTCTTCTGTGGTTTGTTACTCTGGAAGACTTGTTTTCAGAAAAAAAAAGTAACGTGTGAAAAGTAATCATGACAAAATGTTTCAGGGTGAAAAGCACTTTTTGGACTAAAAAGTTTTTTGTTTTTTATTCAAAATATGTTAAAAGTGCAGTGTGAAAAATATCATGGATTTAAAAATAGTTAATGAATAGTAACATTTACTTTTAAAAGTGTCAACTATAAAGGTAAGATAATAAAGATGTTAAGGGAAGAAATACTGCATGAAAAGAAACCGTGACAGAATGGGCTTTTACTATAAGTAACTTTGATCTTAAAATTTTAAAAAGAGGTCAAAAGTTTCAGTAATAAAAATGGTACACTGTGACATTAATATATATATATATGTGTGTGTAAAAATGATGTACTAAATACAAATAAACAAGAAATATTTCATGACATAAATCTGATTAAAAAGGCATGAAACATTTGATGTAAACAGATACAGCAGCAGTGACGACAAACATATACGATTAGTAAATGTGAAAAGTAACAACCGTAAGACGATAAGAGAGGCAAGAGCAAGTTTTTTTGAGCCCGTAACCTCAAGCTAACCTTAATCTTAAACTTAAACTGTCATCTGAAACAATGGCCAAAAGACAAACTGAAACTATCCAATCATACTGTTGCTTTTCTAAGCTGAATTTAAGGTAAGTTTCATTTGTATTTGATCACCATTTTCATACTTTTCCATCTTGTTTTTACTCTTCATGACTTGTAGACTATGTTGATATTATGTTGTTGTGATTAGTGTCAGCTTTAGCCACATCTGCCCACTGCTGGTTTCCATTTTGTCTTTGCAGGTTTTGTTCTAATCAGAGTTAAGAAACTGTAAATCAGCTGCAGACTAATGCTCACTAATTATACTGAGTCATCACAGAAAGCCGTTCACCACCTCCTCCAGTCGGTGTGTGTGTGTGTGTGTGTGTTTATAAGTGTGTGTGCTCAGTCACATGTCATCTCTTCACTTTCAGGCTTCCTCTATGTGTCTTGGCGAATCAGTCGTTTCCACAGAAACTGACTGATTGAAGCTCTCAGATATATTTTCGGAACCCTGTCATTATATTTTCTGGTCTGTTGATTTATTTATTTATTTTCACCCTGGATGCAGAATCTGTGGAGTGACAACAGAACCGAGGCTTGGAGAATGACCAAATTTGGGCACGGTTGTGGATGTTGAACACGCTGAGCTCAGTGTGTGTGACATGTGGAGGAAAGATAGAAATAGAAATAGCAGGCAGTTATTTTTTACTGCGTTTTGTTTGTTTTGTCTGATGGTGGTCAGGAATTTATTCTGTGACGCACAGCTTGAAACAACATCCTCACTTCCTCTCTGACAATCAAAAAAAAGAAAAGTAATCCCAAAGTCACATTTACATGTTCGTGATTAGACAATAAAGCAATATGTGTAATGAATACATGTAATACGAAAGTGGAGGAAGATCACAGTTCAGTTCGGTTTAGTACAGTTTTATTTACGTAGCACCAATTCTCAACACAAGTATCCTCTTAGAAAAAAATGGAAAAAAATGCAAACTTTTTTGCCTGTCAGTGAAAATCTGTTTCTGATCCCAGATACAAGTTGAAAAAATTATAGTAATGCAGTTATATCTACTTTATGTATATGTTTATTTTTTAAATATGAAACGAAAGGAAAACTTTTTATTGTTTCCTGTGTTCTGTCTGTTAAACATTCAACAGTTTTTAGTTTTTGTAAAATGGACCTAAAAGCCACACACTGCGTATTTTTCTGTATATTAAACAGTCTACGATGGAAACACAGTCCTGCTAAAAGCTACGTAGCTGCAAAAGTACAGACTCAAGTCAGCTCAATTTTTTTAGCTAAAGTAAATATATTTCTCTGTATTTCTTTTCTGAAAGCCAAACAATAATATGTCCACCTCAAAATTAGGCGTAATTTTCAGAAACGTTTATAATAAGAGGTAAACACCAACCGAACTCCAACTAGCAAAGACTAGCCTGAGTGTCGCTACAGTTAGCTTTAGCAAAACTTTTTTTTTTTTTAATCCGGCCTGTTTTCTGTCATTGATTTGTCTGTTGAGATGTTGGCACATCTGAGGAATTTAATATTATACAAAGTAAATAAAGACGATTGTTAAATCTGATCATTGAGGAACACTGCTTCATGTTAAACATCCTAGCCTTGATGCCTTTGAGGCTTAAAACGAAACATAGAATACAGTACTGACGAGTTTTTTCTTTTATTTTGAATAATTGTTCTAAAAATGATTAGGTTGCAGCTTTGCCGCATATATAGATTTACCGTTAACAATTTCCTGCTGTCTGCCTCTAGAATACACTGTGATCAGAACAATGCTGAATTTCTAAGGATAATACTTTTATTGATATTTTAGAGTAAAGCATTTTCTTTAGGAAATGGTACAAACCAAAAACAGAGCTAAAAGAGTGAGTTTGTCACTTGAAGCTATTTCATAATAATAATAATTATTGATAAATATATATTTCATACACTCATTTCCAACATAAGACGTGTATTTGTGCACACTTTAGTGAATGTGATTCGTGGTGCTGCTCCACACTGAGTCAGCTGAACATTGTATTTGTTGTTTCTTCCCAGCAAGCTTTGCAGCTGTAAATCACATCAGCTGAGAAACTGCATGAAATGTCCTGCAGGTTGTGTCACTGAGGAGCTCACAGCAGGCAGAAAAATGTCTGTCTGTTCTTGTCCAGCTGTCTTTGTGAGGACTGATGTGAAAATGTTGTGATCCTGATGGTGAATTTGTGTGATTTGGTCTAAAGAATGTGTAATTTTTTGAAAAAGCTTGAAACCACCAAAATGGCAGATGTAGGCTTTTTAGGCAAAAGTGACGATGTATTAATTAGTGGCACCGATAAATCAACGTCATACTAAAAAAAAAACATATGTCACGCTTTGACCTCTGGAAAAGAATAAACGCCTTGTTATGGCTTCAATCTAAAGGGCTGCTTGTCTGTAAAATAACCTTTTTAGGACATCTGGGGCTCAGCTTGACATCCTCGGCTTTCATCAGGTTTAGTTAGGCTCAGCTTTGTGTTATGCTAACATTAGCAGGTCCAGAAACTGTTAGCATGTTAACAATCTGTTGTGTGTTTTCAGACTCGGCGGGCTGCTCCAGACCTCCGCCTCGCACCAGAGAGGTCCTCATCAACGGACAGACTGTCAAACTAAAATATTGCTTCACCTGCAAAATCTTCAGGCCGCCTCGAGCGTCACACTGCAGCCTGTGTGACAACTGTGTGGGTCAGTATCATTACAAGAGCTCCTTTTTAACATTTTATGTTGCTCATGATTCTCAAACAACGTCTTTGAAACACATCCACTCACTTTATCGCACAGTTCTACAAATTCACACATTTAGATGGACAAACTGTATCTGAACCCACCTGCAGTCAAAACCACACTTTGTAATAAAACCTTAACAAAAGCTTTTGTATTTTGATTTGAATCTTTGTTCCATTTCAGTCAGTGTTAGCGCCTTATTAGTTTTTAGCAAAGTGATTCAAGTTTTTGCTTTAATACAGTGAAGCTGTGATATTTTTTTTCCTCCCACAGAGCGTTTCGACCATCACTGTCCTTGGGTGGGGAACTGCGTTGGACGGAGGAACTATCGTTTCTTCTACCTGTTCATCCTCTCCCTCTCCTTCCTCACCATCTTCATCTTTGCCTTCGTCATCACACATGTCATCCTCAGTGAGTAACACTGCTGCTGCCGCCTCCACACACTGTTTCTGCTGTGATTCACGTATTGATTTCTTTATCAGACTTCTCTGCTGCACTCATTCTTTATCTCTTTATGTCATTTTGATTTTGTGATACGCTTGGGTCGTTCCTGTGCAACACTCGTACGCACCATCTGCTCCTGTTCTGCTGATTATTCAAAGTGCTTTGCAGAGAGTAAAAACAGACACGAGACTACTGACACCAAAAAAAAACAATGAAACAATATGGGTAGAAAACGCCATAGAACAGACAGAGATTAGGAAACAACAAATAAACAGGTTTTCCTCCAGCAGCTGTTTCCACCTGATTCAACATTAGGTGAATATAAAGGATGGCTGCAGGGCCTTTTACACATCTGTGCAGAGGGGCCCATTGTCTCAGAATCAGTCCATGTACAGATCAGATTGTAAATCCAGGAACCAACATCTCTGTCAACTAATGGCTGAGCTCTAAGTATATTTTCTCAGTTGTCCAACAACACATTTAAAGTGTGAAAGAAAGTAAGTATACATTTGACAACAATGAAGCTGACTAAGGACTGGCTTGTGCTGGATGATCCAAGATGAGCAAGTTTCAAGTCTCTACTGACTGATTTGAATAGAAAAGAACAAAGAATTGACAGAGGACTTGGCACTATTCCTGTGATCTCTGTAGTTCTGACAGATCGGCAGAATCTCCTGTATTTGTGTTATTTCACATGTCGAGATCATAGTAAGGAAACTTGCTGTGCTTCAGGAGTGCATTGAAGCCTGTGTGTGTTGTCGCCCTGCAGCAGCTTCCTCATCTATGTAATGGATGAAACGAGACTGGGACATTGATCGTCCACAGCCCCGCCCACTGTCCTTTGATTGACAGGCTGTCAGAGAGAGGCTGAGGCTGCAGTCTGTTCCTGCCTTCTGTCACCCATCAATCAGACCAGAGCGAGACAGATCATATGGATTTTGCTGAATCAGACCTAAAACAAAAACCTGATTACTTAGAGAAATCAGCCGAGCACACTGTGGTTATATCACATGTGATACAGTGTGACAGGTGATCTGTCTTGGGCTTGTCTCGTTGGTGTTTTTACTCGGTCTTGTGTGTGTTTTAACTTGCCTCAGTCTTGTTGATTGTTCGGGCTCAGACTTGTCTCAGCCTTCATGTGTCTGTTGTCTCCTTGTTTCGACTTTATAGGTGTTTTGACTCAGACTCCTTATGGACAACTTTTCCCTCTCTGATTTGACTCACTCGTAAATGTTTTGCATGGTGTTGGTCTGACTTCTCTTAGATGTGTGTCCACTGTTTGACTTGACTCTGACTTGATATTGAAACTTTTGCGTCTTGTTGCTTTGACTCAAACTTGTCTTGAACATAGGGCCTTTACATCGTCTCTCTGGTTTGTCTTTTCATTCTTACTCCTCTTGGCTTGTTGCATGATTTGTCTCACTCGGTCTTGGCTGTCTCATGGCTGTCTCATGGCTGTTTTGACTCGTGCTTGTTTTGGTCTTGTGGCTGTATGAACCCAGACTATCACGCAAAGGGTTTTGCTTAATTGTGTCTCTGCATCAATGGTGCTTTATCTGTCTCATTTTGGTTTTGTGGCTCGTTTGACACGGATTTGTCATGGTTTTCTGGGTTGAACTTTTGCTTTTTAGCTTGGTCTTAAAGAGCAACGTGATCTCCTCGGTTCTCTCCTTGGGTTGGATTTCATAGAAACAAGCTTGAACAAGTGGCTGCCTGGAAGGAAGTTTAACACCGATCATTGATTTGATGTTTCGAGATCTAAAGCCGCCTGCCGATTCTTCCCTGTCACGCTCATTGACCTAATTCTCTGCTCAGACTGCTGATGTTGTTTTCTTGCCCTGCAGGTCCAAACTGTCAGAATACTAGAGCCTTGAGCTGCTTCAGACTGAAACTTTCAACAACCAGCAGACTGTCTGAGATAAACCCGTGCCTTCCTCTGAACACTACACTGCTTGTTTTCTGTTTTTAGCAGCAGAGCTATAAAAAGATCCGGCAGTGTCGTGACTTTGATCTACAAGATGTAAATTTAGAGAGCAGTAACTGTCTGTTCTGAAGACTTCGGCTCATTACTGTTTGTTTACCCTTGTTGTTGATGATGTTTCCTCTTGTTGTCGGGTGTTGAGTTTTTCCTGGTTCATCTTAGCGTGTCTTGAGGATAAGATGGTTCAATCAGATATGGGATTATAAAAGGAACTACCGTAATTTTCGGACTATTGAGTGCACGTGTATATAAGCCGCACCCGCTAACTTTAAATGTAAACAAAAATTGTACATATGTAGGTCGCACCTTGTAACATGAGATATTTACACAGAAAGATGTTACACAGAGAGTTTTTTTAAACTTTTAATTAAGTACATACCGGTAACATAACCAAATACGTACCATAAATGCTTTTTTTCCCAAACAGTGCCTGTAACACGGCTGGTTAAAAAAATTAAAAAATACAGCAGCCTACCAGGAAAAGTCATTGATCACTATCTTCATCTTCGTCCTGCACTAAAACCTCTAAAGTCGTCTTCTTCAGTGTCGGAATTGAACAGCCTCAGAGTTACTTCATCACACACTTTCGTAAAAATCTTAAAAATCCATAAATTACCCGCATCCTTGTTTAAGCCACAGTGTTCAAAGATTGTGAAAAAAGTAGCGACCTGTAGTCCAGAAATTACGGTAACTCATTCACTCCCATAAACTTTAACTGTGATTATTCTTTATCGAGACATTTTTGCTTTATTTTCCTTTCAGTGCTGTGTTTTTGTATCGGCTCTTTGTTTTTGTCTCAGCATCTTTAGAGCTGAGGGAGTAAGCGTAAACGGATGGACTGCAGTAAAGTGTTTACATTGAGGTTGCTGTACACGGAGATCAATGCTAATATGAGCATGATAACATCCTAAATGTTAGCATTTACGTTTAACTGCCAAATGCTGCTTGTCATCATGCTATTAAGCTAAAAGCTAAATGCTAAAAAATGTAACATCTAACAGCCAGCAGGGGGCGACCACTCAGGTTGCAAAATAAATTCTGATTGTATCGAAGTCTATGAGAAAATAAACCCCACTTCTTACTTGATTTGTTACCTCAGTAAATGTTTTTCCTAATGAGTTTATGGTCTCAATCACTAGTTTCAAGTCTCCTTCAATAAAGCGTGATGTTCGCTTTGTAAATTAGGGTCTCGTTTAGAGTACAACAGACGGACGTGTGTGTCCTCGAGCTCTCAGTCGGATCCACCCCTCATTCATCACATCCACATTCATAAGACCAAGATGGTGATATTCAAATGTAAACTCAAAGCTGTACAACAGTAGTCCACACAACAGTGGGTGATGTCACAGTGATGAGGTCCTTTTTTTTCACAGTATATGATGTACACAGTTCATCTGGTGCCATCTTAGCAAATTTGATTACATTTTTCACCCTACTAGTGGTAAAACCCTCACAGGTTAGAGCCAGTTCATACAGATATCACTGTGCCGCTGCAGTAACAATTAATCCTACTTTCATCTATTTTGTCCTTATGTATAGAAGCTAAACTGATTAATCTAACTTTGTTTTCTATCTGTGTGTGTTGCAGGATCAAACCGGACAGGTTTCCTGAGCGCACTCAAAGACAGCCCTGCCAGATATCCTTTACTGTGGAGAATTCACTGTTAAAAGGACTGACTCAGTCTGTGACACCTTGTGCAACGTTAAGCTGTGTTTGGGATTTTCATCAAGTAAATTCATAACATAAATAATTAATATAAGCACTTCACCACAGTTTCATCACAACCGTAATCGGATTAACCTCCATAGGGCCCCGCAGGGCAAAACTTTGTTGCTGGATTATACAAGTGAGTTTCATGATTTCCTCAGTCATCCAGAAACGAGGCAGTCCTCTAGAGCTCACATAGGAACAACATCAATATCAGATAAAGTGGCTTTTAAGCAAAAATGTCCAAAGTTCTCTGCCTCCAGCTCCACAGATGTCAATCTTTGCTAGTTTTCCAGTTTTCTATTGTCATAAATTCAAAGTCTGGGGCTCTCTGACTGATGGTCGGACAAAAAAAAAGCAAATAGAATATGTTAGATTTCCTTTAAATGCATTCCAGAGCTTACACAGAAAATCAAACAGAGGCACTAATTCCCCTCATACTACCCCCTCTCCACAGAGTGTTTCTGATGAATCAATAACTCTCACGCTGTCACCAGCCACAGGTCAATATGTCCCATAATGCTTTGCCAAGGTCAAACCCACTGCCCGTGTCGCACACTCTCACGGACGTATTTACATTCAGCTCCATGCACATTCTGCTGTTTTGTGTTTGTGTTTACTACAGCTACAAGCAAATTGTTAGTGACAGTCAGGCCTCATCATCTCAGTGTCCATCGATCCAGGCCCCAGATATAAATCCTAGTCTTGATAATAAATACAAACACTGTAGTATACTATACAGTCGCCCAAAGACCCGACTTTGTCCTTGACTCTGCTTTGCACCGTCCTGGAGGTGGTGGTGTGTTTCTTCTCTGTCTGGTCCATTGTCGGCCTGTCGGGCTTCCACACCTACCTGATCAGCTCCAACCAGACCACCAATGAGGACGTATGTATATCTTGCCTGAATCTGTAGTTTCAGGGACAATAAAAAGAAAAACATTGTCGGTTCTGATGAAGAGGACCAACACGCCTCTTGTGTCTGTCTTGATCTTGTCCTGGTCTGATCTGGTCCAGATTAAAGGGTCCTGGTCCACCAAGCGAGGGAAGGACAACTACAACCCCTACAGCTATGGAAACATCCTGACCAACTGCTGTGCTGCCCTGTGTGGACCTCTGCCGCCCAGGTCAGTAGCATCCTCTGCAGCACTCCATAGACCTAAATTCAGGACTGAATCCAAGACTGAAGTTTGCACTGAAGTCAGGATTAAACAAGACCAAAATCAGGACTAAATTTAGTACTAAAAGTCAGCAATTAAAGTATGATTAAATTCAGTACTAAAATCAGCACTGGAGTCAGGATTAAACAGGAATATATTTAGATTTAAACAGGATTAAACTCAGATTTAAACAGCACTAAATTCAGGACTAAACTCTGCCCTAAATGTGGGAGTAAAGTCAACACTGAAGTCAGGACTTAAATCAACACGAAGCTCAGGGCCAAAGCCAGAACTAAACACAACTAAATTCAGCACTAAAGTCTGCCCTAATTCAGGTCTAAAGTTAGCACTGAAGTCAGGACTTAAATCAAGTCGAGACTAAACAGGACTGAAATAAGCACTGAAGCCACGATTAAACAGGAATAAATTCAAATTTAAACAGCATCAAACCCAGGACTAAAGTCGACACTGATGCCAGCTCTTAGCAGGCCTAAAGCCAGGACTAAAGTGAGCATTAAACTCAAGATGAAGTCAGTACTGAAGTCAGGACTAAACTCAGGACTTAACTCAACAAGTCAGGAGTAAATTTAGGGCATTTGAAATCTTCTAGAACCTCTTATTCTCTCCTAATCAAATATCAACTTCACAGTTAATAATTCAAAGGAGACACAGCCAGTGTGTTTAAGGAGTCTGAAGACCAGCGTGTTCTACTTGTGCTCAGAGTTTGTTCAGATTGATTCGTTCCTTACAGCTGCAGGACTGAAACTCACAGCGTTTTCTGCTTCAAATATTTAATATATTTACTAATACTTAATTAGTTTTCAGACAGCCAGCATGTTGTTTGTTTTGTCCTTTTTTTAACAGCATGGTGCTGAGAACTGATGCATTTAGAATTTTAAGCAGACGCTAATTGAAGTAACTCGTTTAGTAGCATATTGTCGAGAATTATTCTGTGGCTGAAGATTATATTGCATCCCAGTCAAACAATCCTGAGCAAACAGGTTTTTCTTTCACTTCCATGCATGTGCCTGAAAACCTGAGCGTCATCGCTGCTCCTTGTGTCACATCTGCTTTGTTTCCTTCGACTGGTGTCTGAGTATCAAAATATCAAAGTTCAAAACTGCCTCAGGCCAGAAAACTGTCTTAAACATTATTATTTCACTCCTGTCTTCCTCTGTGTTTGTTTTCTGTCACTCTTTCCATCATCATCATCTTCATTTTTCCTCTCCTCCACCCCCCACTCTCAGCAGACGGTACCTTCCTGTGTTTAATGAGGACAGTTTTCAGCTGAGACCTTCCTCGAAGTAATTACGTTCTTCTTTTCCCTCCTCATCCGTGCCTTCAGAGTTTCTCATCTCTCAGCTGGCTCTTAGCTTTGCTTCTCCGCCGTTTACCCTCGCTGCTGAAAACCTGAAAGAGTTCACATAAGCCTCCTGCTCTCTGCTTTCATCAGCTCTTATGTTTCCATCCACACGAGTCCAGTGTCACACATGGTCATTATAGAGGCTGAGGGAGGTCGTGGTCCGTTTGGAGACCTGGGTGGTGATCCTGAGGCAGTTTGTCGATACTCTTTATTGCTTTGTCAAAGCAGCTGATTAATACTATTTCACTCACTCAGCCTAAAATTAAATGGGAGCCGAGTTGAGCGTTAATTAAATGAGATTTGGTTCTGAAAACTGAGTGAAGATGTGCTTTCTGGGTAGATTTCTTTGCATTTTTTTGTCATATTATGCATGTGCATGCCAAAAGTATGTGGACAGCTTAATGTTTCCTCCATATATGACGGAGTAACATGCGGTTCTGTCACCATGGTGCGTTAATGTGCTGCTAAAACAGCCTCCAGTCTTTTGGTTTCAGTTGTTTACCAGATTCAGGAGCGTCCGTGAAGTCCAACACAGACACCGGGTGATAAGTTCTGGATCACAGTCGGTGATCTTGTTCATCCTAAAAGTGCTGGATGGGGTTGAGGGTTGAGATCAGAACTCGAGACATTATTTATTTTTCGCTTTGTCAAAGCAGCTGATTAGTACTGTTTCACTAATGGGCCTGAAATGAAATGGAATAGGGACAAAGTTAAGCTTTAATCAAAAAAGATTTGGTTCTAAAGCGAAGCAGTGGATTTGGGGTACGTTTCCATGCTCTTTTTTTTTTTTTTTAGCTACATCATGTGGTGCATGCCAGCAGTATGTGGACAGCTGAATATTGTCTCATGGTGATTACATGACTATGAGCATGAATTATAACAGCCTCCACTCTTCCAGTTTCCATCCAAAAAAAGCCTTAATGGTGCTGGCTGACAAGGTCCAGCTCACAGTCCGGGTTCCAGTTCATCCCAAAGCTGCTGGATGAGGCTGAGGTTGGGTCTGTGCAGTTGCCACACAAAGTTCTTCACAGAGCTGTCTCTGTGTACAGGGATGTTTAGATGTTGAAACAAAGCAGGAAAGACACTGTTGGTAATATTTCCTCCTCATTTCTGACAATGTCTACAAGAGATTTTTTTTTTTTTTTTGAAACAATGATGTTGAGCCAATTTGGAGAGATTTTGGATCCAAGCACACTTGTTTATTCATTACCGTGTAAAAATTGATTACTTTCACATGTGGAAGAGAAGTGAGGAAACCAGAATATGTGAATTGTAGTGGTTTAAATATTGTACTTCAGTAGGGTCACTTTGTTGTTGTTTTTATTGGTATTCACTGTCCCATGATTTTATAAAATATTATATACAGCAATTTATGTTTATACACGGGCTACGCAGTGGTTCGGTTTATGGATTTCTTCAGAAAGCTTAAATCATGGTGACTTTAAAACTGTGTCTTTCATGACAGTGTTCTCAGATTTCACAGAGTTACAATTCAGAGAAGGAGAGAGATTTCCACTGAAAGCCACAAAAGTCAAAAAAGAAAAAACAGCTTTACTAACAATTCAAACCCTCTGGCAGCTGGGATAGACTCCAGCCCCCCTGCGACCCCACAGAGGATTAATTGGTGTATAGATAATGGATGGATGGATGTTTATACACTTAACAGCACAACAATCATTAACAGCCTTTCAGTTTAATTAACTTACAGCCACTAACCGCGGTTCTGTGACTCTCACATAGGAAGAGACGTAGCATTAAATCAGGGAATCTAACACGAGGCTGAATTAGGGCGTTAAATTTGTAATTTTTTACTGTTTAATAACATAAGTTTTAATATTTAGTTGTACTTTACTTGAGATTGTGACACTGGTTTCAACTGTGTGTTAATGAGCTTATGAATGTTTGACAAATGGAGAAGACTGCTTGTTTGATTCTTGATTGACTGATGGGTCGGCTGCAGCCCTCTGGGGCGACGCAGACAGAACAAACCTCTTGAGCCATTTTGAAAATGATGGTGGACGACAGAAAGCGAGCGAGATATGGGAGGCGGATTTTAAAAGCAAAAGCGTGGTGTCAACAGAGGAGGAGAGGTTTGTTTTCCAGGGCTGAACATATGGAGATTCATTACACAGTCTGCTTGTTAGCTCATGGCTGGCTGGTGGCAGCTTATTAACATGTCGGCTGCACCTGCTGACACCTCGACAGGTGGTGACATCCATCTGCACGCACCCACACACAGGGAAAGGCTTTTTAGGTCAAGCAGCGAAGGAACCGCAGACGTCGGGGGTTCCTGCTGGCAAAGTCTACGTCATTTATCTCAATTGACTGACTTTTATTCAGAGTTCAGCTTGAACAGAAATGCTTATTGTAACATTTTTAACTTTTGACCACACTGTGCCATTAGTTCAGCCACACAAGCAGGAAATCATTAAGATAAGACAGATACTCAATTGATTCAGTTTCAGACATCTAATACTAAACAGAACACATTTTCAGCACAAAAACTGTTCACAGCAGAAGTAAAACAGACTGAAGGCTTACAGCGAGGTAACGAAAATATTTGTGACATGTGGTGTGAAAAATATACAGTATATAAAATATGCAGTGTGCAAAATGTAAGAACAAAAATCTGTGATGTGAAAACAAAATAGAGTGAGATACAGGAGATGACTTGTGTATGTAAAAATCTCAAGATACATCCATATATTATTTAGTCTGTAACTGAAAAGTGCTCTGTTGAAGCACCTCCGAGGTGTGAAGTAGGTGTGAGGGATTTCTCATCACTGACTTCCGTTTTGAGAGCGTCCTCACCTCTGTCACTTTCTGAATAGTGTTGATTTCAGTGCTGATGATGGAGTTGGCCTTCGATTCAGTTTGTTAATCCTGTTTTTGTGTATGAGCGCCGTGTTCCCAGCACACCATCAAAGAACACAGCTCTGGCCATTACAGTCTGATAGAAGGTGCACAAAAGAGATCCGCAGGTGTTAAAGGACCTCAGCCTTCTCAAAAAATAAAGGCCGCTTTGCTCCTTTTTATATAGCACCTCCATGTGGGTGGTCTGGTTCAGTTTGTACTCTGTTCAGCTGTACTCTTGGAGATCTGTAGCTGGAGACAAGTTCCACCTCAGTATAGTAACAGGAGCTGGTTTGGGCATCCAGTCAGCAGTGGGTAAATGATACGACGAAAGGCCCCTCACCAGGCTAAAAGAGGCATGTTTGTAGCTGTTGTGCCTCTTTTTGTAGAAAATGTGTGCCTTTTTCTAGTAGTTTTGTGTCACTGTGTGGTGCGTTTGTGTCTTTGATGGCTGAGTTGAGCTCTTGATGACAGTGTCCTTGGATGCGTTTCAATACTGTTTAGTATGTCAGAAAAAGATTTAGTGTGTCCCAATGCATGAAATGTCAAATGCAGCGTGCAGAAAATGCCAAGATGCCCGACTGCATTTGTTTGGATTTTTGCCATTCGGACCCACAGTCCTCTGTGCATGCAAGCAGCCAAGAGGGCATCGACAACGGCTCATTTCGACCAACAAAGTTCGAGGCGCGATATTGTGTAGTGTGTGTGGATTGTATGCAAACTGGATGAAACGGTACATGCTTTTTTTAATGGCAGCTGTATGAAAAAAAAAATGCAATTTGGAGTACAGCCTTAGTCAGAGGTGTGTTTTTGAACACTGCACAGAACCGGACGAGCAGCTTCCATCTATGCTAAGCTACGCTACCTTTACCTTCTGTGCTGTAATGGACAGAACCAATTCGTATCAGTAACTAGTTGTTTGGGTCCCTGTACTCTGTATCACTGCTTTTATCCTGTGTATCTGTTTCTTTTTTGCCAGAGAAGCTAAAAATCTGAAGTGAAGTGACTCATCTCCATCTTTCTCCTCTGTGTCCCAGTCTGATTGACAGGAGGGGTCTGATTCAGTGTGACACACCACACACCGTCTCCCAGTCTAACGGGACCAGCAGCAACAGCTACGCCTCCACTCAGCTCCACAGTCACATGGTAGGTGGAGGACGACGACAGAGCCGATCAATACCGACACATCGGATATCATGTGAATCATCAGAGCACAGAGGGAAGCTGCAGTCGCATCACATCTGTGGAAAGTCTACCTTAATGCACCGTCATGCATTATCAGTACTATATCAACAATGGCTTTTTGTCAGTCTGCAAGTTAAAAGTTAATAATAATAATAATAATAATAATAATAATCAGTAATTGCAGATCAATTTACAACTTTTCAAAATAAAATGAAAAACATTCAATATCATTAAAAGATAAAACTGCTTCCAGTGGTGTAATACTACAATAAAATCCTTGTCATTAAAGTGAAAAGGAGATGAAAAATGGAAATTAAAAAAAAAAAAAAACACTAGGAATTTCAAGCTAATTTAATACACAGGTCCCAGATAATCCCCTGGTAATTTTCCTCATAATTTTCTAAAACTAGCTTTATTTAGCCTTAAAGTAAAGGATAATACCAACACACTTTGTAGCAAACTAATGACTCAGTGATTAATGAACTGGTTTCCAGTTTGTGTTGCTCAGCAACTGACTCAGAAGTATTCAGGAACAACTAATGATGAAAGTGATTGTTATTCAGTTTTACAGATATTTCTGAATTAATCAGTACCTAATGAAATTAGTGCAGTATCTCCCAGTATGTGCTCTGTTAAGTCATTATTTTCTGCTGCAATGTGCCACATTTTGATACCAAAAAGGAAATTAAACTGTCAAAATACAAGCAGCTGCACACAGTTGTTACTGACAGACTTTACAGATATGATGGTATTAACTAACATTATGGGCAGCATCCAGCTCACTTGATGAGCTGTCACCGCTTTACCCTAAACCAGACAACATTTGTTGCTATGTTAGCCTAAACAAGATATATCTTTCTGCTACATTAACCTAAACAAGATTAGCTGGTTACGTTAGCTGGTTGTTAACCCTAAACAAGGCAACATTAGCTGATATGTTACCTTCCAAAAGTACTTTAAAGGAGTGCGTTAGCCTAAAGAGGCACATGTTAGCTGCTACATTAGCCTAAACATGATAATGTTAGCTGGTTGGTTGGCATAAACAAGATAACATTAGAATCAGAATCAACTTTATTGGCCAAGTTTGTACATGCAGACAAGCAATTTGACACTGGTGAATCTCAGCTCTCTGTGTAATCAGAAAAATAAAAACCTAAGAACTTAAAAAATAATGATAATAATTAGCCTGTGAAGTAAGTAATAACCAAACTCGGCTTGAATTAGCTGTAAAGAGATCTGGATGTCTCCTGTTGAGCTGCATCGATCAGTTTGACGTGTTTCTATCTTTCAATGCTCTGTGACATTATTTACATTCTGACTTTTAGTCGTCTATACCTTCTATAACATCTATAACCACTGATCATCAACCCCAGCACTAAATATGCCCATTCACTTGTTGCTATTGTTCAGTTCCTGCTGTACAGAGCTTCTTATTAATGAGTCATTGTTGTTTGTCAGGGACATTTTTGTGTACAGCATTGTAAAGTCTTACAAGTTTAGATGGATATTGAACAAAAGATCAGATGTTGTGGCAGTTTACAAGTTGCTAAATACATAAATTAACAGTATTTTATCATTATGTAGATAAAAAAACATGATCAAGTCTCAACATTTCCATCAGAATGTATCTGCTGTTGTAAACTGGCTGCATAAATGAAGGTTTAACATGCTGAATGTTTCCCTGAACTCCCAGTGCGATCAGGATCAGTGTATCCAGAGCACCAAGTTCGTCCTGCAGGCTGCAGCCACCCCTCTGCTGCACAGCGACCCCGTGGTTCTGGCCCCTCTGCCTGGGAAGACCACCACGCTGGGGGGCCCCTGCGCCTACCTGGCCCCCACCCAGCCGTCCCTGCCATCCTGCGGCGGAGACGTCCTGACTCTAAGGGACGCCGCTGTCGACTCCCACTGCCACCACCACCTCCACCATCATCACCACCATCACCACCACCACTTTGTCAGCCCAGAGGAGACGCCCTGCACCACTCCGCAGGGTGCCCTGCCCTGCCCTGCCCACCTGCACCTGCACCCCCAACCCCACCCACCTGTCCCCTCCCCCGCCACCCTGTACGACCCCGCCAGTCAGGACGCTCTGCACGAGGACTCGGTCAGAGGGCTGGTGAAGCTCAGCTCCGTCTGATAAGCCATTTCTTTCATTCGACTGACCCGTGTGACTTCAATGTGACCCTTTAATTTTGATAGTTTTTCATACATCTGACTTTATGTCCATCTTCACTTTGTGAAAAAAAAATCCCAGGAATTAAAAAAATAAAGTCATTATATTGTAAAAAAATAAATAAATGACTGAGTAGCACGAATGTTGTGTGGATGATAAAAAAAAAAAAGAAAAAGAAATGGAAACAGCATCAGTGAATAAATGATGACGCACATGAAGCCTGAGACTTAAACGTACTCTGAAGCTTCCAGTGAAGAGACAAATACATCAAATATGCTTTTTCTTTTAACCATTTTCTGGAAATCCAGGTAACATCTGAGTTTTGTTTAGATTAAAACTTCATGTGTCAATTGGCTTTTTGGTTCCTTATTCCTCTTTATAATTGCGAATCACACAGTTAACACGTTGTGCAGTAACAACTCGTCTCTCTAAAGAAGAAAAACCTCCAAACTGCTTTGACAAGCCAAGAATTGTGTCAAATTGTGCAAACAGAATGATTTCTTTCTTTATGACAAAATTTAGAGTTTTGTTTGTTTTCTTTTAAACCCCTCTGGAGTTCAGCTTGGTCCATTTCTGTCATCTTTTAAAGTAACAAAGATGTATGTCTTTTTTTAACACAAGTGTAAAACTGCGATATGCATAAAAATTACACTTCTGCCTCAACTACACAATCTTCCATCTCCTAAAATACACACAAAAAAAGACAATTTACAATTTTTTTCCCACAGACTGTATATAAAATTGGCTGGCACATTTCCTCCCAGGGCACAGAAGCAAAGCCACAATTTGACGGAAACAGGCGATTCTATCTTTAGCTGGTGTTCAGCAGCGACCAGAGGGTGGTATGAAGATCCAACAACTCCAGCCACCAGCATCTCCACTGTCTGAACTGTGATAGTCGCTCACTGTACGCTGATCCTAATCCAGACATGTTTGTAAATGCTAGCTGTCTAGCCAGCTACATATCACTTGCTCTTCACCGTAAACTGGTTGTGGTCGTAGCTTGGTGTTGATGGTGAGATAGGAGGCAGGATCTCATACTATGGCTGCACATTATTGGAAAAGAATGGCATTGCGAGGTTTTGTTGGGTATAATGTACCAAATACAAGATGCAGTCTGTGGCTGAAGCACTACTGCCTGGCGCTCTTGTTTAGGGCCACAACATTGTCTATCTTTGTACAGGTTGGCGCCTCTCAACCATCCATCACTGTTGCAGTTTTGTCACTAAATAGTTTGCAAACGATGACTTTTCAGTTGTTAGTCTTATGTAGCGCTCTGTTGCCCAGCTGGACCACAAGCCTGTTGTAGCTGCGTTATATTGTGACAGCTCTCTTTCAACTTGTGCCTTTGTTTTTTCATGCAGCTCTGGGAAGGAAACTTGAGGAAAAATAGGTGTGTGTTGGTGTTACTGCTTGTGAAGTGACTAGATTGTGTTTTAAGGGCAGCTGTGGCTCAGGTGGTAGAGCGGTTGTCCTCTGATCGTAACGCCCCTCCACAGTCAAAGTGTCCTTGGGCAAGACACTGAACCTGAAGTTGCTCCTAATAGCAGGCAACACCTTGCATGGCAGCTCTGTCACCATTGGTGTATGAACGTGTGTGTCAACGGGTAAATGAGAAACACATTGTAAAGTGCTTTGAGTGCCGCTAAGGTAGAAAAGCGCTATGTGAGTGCAGACCATTTACCATTTAAAACCTTCTTTGGTAACTCTTGATTGGTATCATGTCTTTTGTAAAGTTAAAAGATATGTCATCAGTGATTCCTGTCATTTTGAACCTTTTCAGAATAGGTTTTTGCTTTGAATAACATTCAGGTTGGGCTTTGTGATTTAAATGGTTGAACATATTAGACAACAGTTGTAAGACAGAGTACCTGGTTTTGGTCAACGTCAGCCTTTCTGGCATCAGAATATTTCAGTTAATCTGGTGTTTTGCCACCAAGTCTTCCTTTTTCAGTATTTCTTTCCTGTTCCTCGATCATTTTGTTGTGCACACATGGAGCCTCAACAGTATCATGTAAATAAAGTTACATCAAAACTCTTACGTCAAAGTAAATTACGTTCGATCAGACAGACATCTCTTCTAAATTAGTCGTGGTAGAAGAGGACCGTGCGGTTTCTCTTTTTGTGTCTGGCAGCATATCGCCATGTCAATGCTGAAACAATGTATGATGCAGCTCTACATGATGCTACATCTCCACCCGCCGGTCACTGCTGTGCACCAGAACAAGACTGCAGCTTGTTTCGATCACATTTTGACTTCACTTTTGCTGTCGTCCATCTAGTCTGTGGTCTTTACCCACAGAGTAGAAAATGTCTGTTAACATGTACGTTGATTTCATCTATCACAGTTTTATGCCTGTGAATCACTAAAAGTGAAAGGCTTTAAACATTTCTTTCCTTTTCTCAGCTGCTCTCTACGTCATGTTTATGGACTCCAGAGGGTTTTAAACAAAAATAATCTAAATATTCTGACAATAAGACACTCTGGGTGACCATTTGACCTTTTCTGTTTGACTTCTGTCTGACCAAAGCTGCACTTCAGCCTCCTTCATTTCCTGTTTGTCTGTTTTCTTTCTTTCTGCCTTGACTCCAACTTTGTCCATGTTCCTCTGTGGTCCCGATGAAGTCGAATTCCTGCTAAAACCAGTGAACATTTAATCCAGAATAAGCTACTTCAGTGCCAAATGGACGTCCGCCTCCAGCTGCAGTCGGACTGGGACCAAAACCATCGACTTTTTTTTGTTTTTGTTACTATAAATCAAGCGGTTGATCCAGGAGATTTGATGGTTTTCTGTGGAATAATGAGAGCTGATGGAAACAGCATCAATCTTCAGGTGTTTGTTGGATTCTGTGGACAAAAACACAAAGCTGAGCGAGTTTTCAAAAAAATCCTGCCGACCTGAATGGATCAGTTTGTGTCGAGAGAAGCAGCAACACTGCCAGACGTTCAGCTGGAGTTCACCTCTTCAAATAATCTGAATTATTTTTTGTTGTACGTCACTGTCCGCTTTTATAGATGAGTTTCTGGTGGAAAAAGAAGCCGGTGTGATGAACTGAATCCGTCTTTGTTTCACACAACATCATTTAGAAGAGTTTTCACAATATCATAATAGTTTATGCGTGCACATGTTCACTGCTAAGGCATAAAGCAACTGGACGGAAACCAGTTAAATGGCTGTTTACAGGTGAATTTGTATAATCATTCCCAGAACCAGGTCTGTGCTTTTATTCTGAAGGTTACATGCATATTCCAGTTCCTGTCCTTCAAAAGTTCATGTCACAGTTTGTAAGCGGTTTGTTAATTTCATGCCAACATTGTTTGCAATAAAAGATCCTCAGGAGACTGCGTCAGATTTGACTCTTTAAATAATTGGTTCATTCACCAGATTTTTATTGGTGACAGTTTTGAAGCTGTTTTAAATTTATGTTTTCATGTTGGGACGTAAAATGTATATTTAGACTATCACTGAAGAATCAGCAGTTCAAAGACAACTTCAAGGGGAGGGATTTTAGAAGTATTAACCTCAGTATTTCTATATTTCTGATTACAGTCCTGCTTGTGATGCTTATTTTTTACGATTTCTCAGAGTAACATTTAGTAACATGAGCTGCTGTTCCACCAATCACTTCCCAACAGCAGGTCCAGTTTTATACTGGCAGACCACTCTGGGCTCAAACTGTCACGTCAGTGTGCAAATTTCATGCCAAAGACGTCATTTCAAGATAAGCACTGTAGCATATATATTAGGTTTCTGTTGTTGGGTGTCAGGCTTAATATAAAGTAATATTAAGTCATTGCCGATGTAGGGAAAGCGTATACTGGAGCCTCCATCCAAATAGTTGCAAATGTATTTTTACATTCCATGCAGCTCAAACTGGATTACAGCAGTTGGTCATTGAGAAATGGTTTATTCATTATAAAACACTGATTGTAGATGATAAATAATGCATATGCCTGATTTAGTTCTTAATTATTGATTAGACTGACAGCTAAGTTAACCGCAGATATGTCAGCTAAGACCAGCTCTAATGTAAGCTTTTGCTGGTTTGACAATACCGAAGTCTATTTGCTGCAGGTGTCCAAATCCACCCAGACTTAAATGTTCCATGTTTCACTGTCAGTTTGATCCACTATGGTTTGATCCACCCCTCTGTTACAGCCACTAATCTCTGAGTGGGATTCATCATTAAATACGACTTATTTTCTCCATCAGCCACAGTGAAATACTGCAGCGTCTTAGCTGACCCCAAGCATTCGGCCTTGTTTTGCCTCCTGAGAAGTGGTTTAGAGACTCTCCTTATCCTCTGAGAACATTACTAGATGGTCTTTTTTGACAGCTGATTGAAGTCTGGTGTTCTTTATTTAGTAAATTCTGTCTGTGATGAAGCTGCTCTTCTGTCTCAGTGAACAAAGCCTGATGAAGCCTGATCCTTTTGATGATTAGCCTGATTGATCTGTCGGATCCTGTTTGGAGCCCTGTGATAGACTGGTGACCTGTCCAGGGTGTCCCCTGCCTTCGCCCTGCGTCAGCTGGGATAGACTCCAGCCCCCCACAACCCCAGTGAGGATTAAGCGGTGTATAGATAATGGATGAATGGATCCTGTTTGGATACAACTGATCCAGTTTCCACAAAGTGTTTCAGAGCTCCATACACTGCCCTCTTAGAAACCTTCAGTCCAGCCATGATTTGATGCTGAGAAAGTTCCTCTGCTCAGAATAACAATCTGGCATTTGCATTTAGTTCTGATGCCATGTTTCCCACTATCACAGTGCTAACTGATGTGTTAAATTCTACTGTAAACCTGAGGCACAAATTGATTTCAATGGAATGATACAATTCAAAGAAATGTGATCTTTGCACAAAGGAGTCAACATGGTCACTGACATTAATGTGATCAGTTTGATTGATTACAAAGAAGTAGATCAGAATCTGAAATAGTTTTTCTTCAGTTTTATTGTCAGACGTTCCTGTGTGTTTGAATGTTGCTGATTATTTAAGGTTTATATGAAAACATGACACATTTTTGATGTGCACACAATGTTTTCACTGATCTTGAAACTATGCCATCAGCATCAAATTTGCATACTGATGTGATCACCAGCTGAGAATAACCTAAGAGTATCTCAGTACTGCTGACTTTTTTCTTTCTTTTTTTTTAATTTGCATTTCTTGCTCTAAAAAAATATTATTGTTATTATTTAATCAAAGTAGAAACCAGCAGATGAGTCAGTAATGACTCATCATTAGATGTGTGAAAGCTGTAAGAAAGTTCCAGGAGAAAGTCAGGTTTCTGCAGGTCTGGAAAAGTGTTCTTAAAAAGCTAAATCCAGTTCCCTCAACACAAGGG